CCATGGGGCTAAATGCATACATCAGAATGTGATGTTACATGTATATCATACTGAGTAACATGATACATAGGATACAAGGATAACAGAATAACGTAAATGTCTCAGCAACTCCTAGAGAATAAACTTAAATCTAGGCCTTGAAGATTTCTTCTCTCTTTTATATTATTAGTGTCCATTACCAGTGTAACTAACGTCAATTGACGGCGGCTATTTATTTCACACAAGACATCTCGAAATGGACTCATCAAATCAAGATGGAAAGGTGTGCTTGTGAATTCAAGATGACACATTTCTAGATAACACTTGGGCTTAATTGGGAAGCCTTTCCTCTTGCCACATGTGGACTTTGTATGTGACTGCCTGCCTGCCTGCAGCATACCTGTCTGATGTGTGTGATTAAAGTCCTCCCCGATCTGTGAAGGTCTGAAGTCCTTTACTCTTCACCTTCCAACATGTTTCAATCATTACGGAAATCAGAGCCCGGCCGGGACCGGTGGGTGGGCAGCCTGGAGTCCTGTTTGGGGCCAGAGGAAATAGGACAAGTGGGTGGTGTATAAGAATTAATAACATCTGCAGATGGACGAAAAACGGTCTAGTCTTTCTGAAAAGTTCAAACTGTTCTGAAGGCGAGTTCTTGTATGACCCTTACATATCTGTACCGGCTGTAATAGCATGGTTTAGGGCAGAATGTTTGACTATAGGCAGATCCACAGTTTATGTATACGGTCTTGGAGCCGCCATGGTAAGGCTGGGATATGACCTTGATTAATGGGTGTTTATATCAAGGTCACTGCGGTTCAAGTACAGAGGCGAAGGGCAAGTGGGGAGATCGGCCATTATGACCTTCATGAAACATTCGATGTCAGGCGCAGAGGTAAATGTCAACAGAGGTGTCAAGTGGGTGCGAGGAACAGACACAAGTCACCCGTCGCCTTGTTTTTCGGACGGTAAATTTCCTACCTCATAACATGAAGTTCAGGGGAGGCGAGGTGGCGCGAGGTTCTGTTGGAGTTGACGGGCACCGTGTAGTCATCTCCAAGCAGATCTTTCGGTGGCTGCAAAGACAGTATCAAACTGGCCAAGCCGTATCAATTGCCTTCGGTTGCTGTTCCCAGCCCGTCCAGGTGTTGAGCCAAATCCTTGAGCTGCCACATACGTGAGAGGTCAGGTGTTTAGGGCTAGGGTTCGTGTTGGTACTATTAGAGTTATGGTGAGGGTTAGAGTTGGGATCATTGTTCGGGGCTAGGGTTAGACTTATGGTTGGGTTAGGTTGGGTTCAGTCTCCCACATCACGACGAAACCCCTCCCACCCCTTGTCTCAGGTATATTGGAAACTCCCAAGTAGTGTCGGGGTCATGTATTTTGCATGACCTAGGGCTCTCTAAGGTCAGGTCAGGCCAGGTGAAAGGTCGCCCGGTAGAACACCTGATACATGGCGGGAGAGTCGGGTGATGATATGCCGCGAGCTGCGGGCAGCTGGACCGTCAGGGTCAGGGACAAACTCTAACTCTAACCGGGACTAAGGCTGGAGGTTGAAAGGAGAGACAACCCGTATCATAATGGATGTACAATCTGGCACTGAGAAAGCGTCGAGTTTCGGTCGTTTCTTCATTTCTGGGTGTCGGAATTTGACCACTGTGCAAAGTTGTTTTCACCCAAAAGAGATATTTGCGACGCGTACGTGTCATAGAATGCTGTTAAACAACGACATTGTACATGTAAATAATTTTTTGCCACTATTCTGTACAGACAGGTCCAAAATAGAGTCTTCCGCATCTAAGGAATATACAAGCCCCCTAGTCCTTACAGAATGGTCCGAAATAGCATTTCTCCATCTAGGATATCCTACACCCCTCTCACACCCACTAAGATCCCCTCCAGGCGTCTTGAATAAAGATAAGCGGCAGCAGCAGCAGCAGTAGTCCGGCTTGAGGCAGGAATGTTGTCCGCTCCCGACAGACGTGCTGAGGTGTGGCAGAGAACATCAAGACTCAGCAAAGCCGTCAAGACACGACGCTTCGGCAGGGACGCTCTGTCTTAACCAGCTTTGTACTTGTTGTTGTGTGTAGATCTTGATACAAGCAAAGTGTCAAACTGCCTGCCTGAATGCTCAGACCAGAATATGCCCCTTGTTCCTCTCCGTATGGTACCCCCAAGTAGCACGATCCTTAGCATTGTCTTTTACAAGTTGATCTTTTCAGCTTTTTTAATCGAAGGAGTATGGGGCCAAAAGGGCCAATTAAGATATTCGGAAAGATTTTCTTCTCAGCCAATTCGAACTCCACGCACCAAGAGAAAAATAAACGCCCGTTACAAAACAAATTTTTGTAGCCCGCGTGTTTGCATGACGGGAATGTTTTCAGCTGATAACATTCCATCCGCACAGCTGACGACATCTGTCGCCATGGCTACGGAATGCAACATCGGGTCGACAAACTGTGTTTTGGTTGTTTTCAAATCATTAAAATGTTGCCCTTATCCCTATAGACCTCTGTAGTGTAGATAACGCTGCCCTGTGTGTCTTTACTCCCTCTCCTGTCAACTTGAGGAAAGTACGATGACCTTGACGTCACCTTGAAGGGATAAGTCGTAAAGAAAAACGCCTTAACAGGTCGAAGGAGCCTGTCGTGTTGTGAGGATTATCGTGTTTTAACGGGAACACGGAGTCTGGAAGGTCGCGCACAGCACGCACAACACACAGCTTAGCGCGTTCTCCACGCGCCTGTTAGACAAACGTCTGTGGTTTGTGTTATTTGGTGAGTAGGTGTCAGTCTGGAAGGTTTAGTCACCAGGCTACCCCCCCCCCTCCCGGCGCTGGTCAAGTGTGGATGACCTACTTCTCAAGTGGCCCACTCCAGCCGATACAGGTGTCCGGACTGAACGATGTTTACCTCTTATTTACCCAGAACCGTGCCTATCTTGTTCTGTGCCTGAATGGGTTAGGGTTAGGATCTGGCGCGTAACAGATTTAGACAGAAGAACTGTTTTTGATACGGGCTGACGAAAACAGATACAGGGTGTGTACGTACATCATCAGTATTTTTTTCAACGGGTGAACACTGTGTTTATTTGGTCTCGTGGTTAGCAGTGTGAAAGCTGAAGTTCTAGAGCTTATTTCAGCTGGGTGACAGCGAGTCGTGAGTTTGGAGTTATGTAATCTTAAGAATAAACATCAACCGCCAGCCAAGGTCACAAGAACATCTTAAGAGATCCCCATGTCTAAACAAGACAAGAGTGTCCGCGTATCCGGATCCAAGAACGTATATTTTCCCCAGGTACGGTTCTGGATACACGTGGACTATGTAAGGCCGTGCCTGAGCATGGTTCTTGATAAAGCACGGTTCTAGATACAACAGGCCGCTGCAGGTGTTCGGGTTGAGAGGTGTTCACCTCCAATTTATACCTGAATGGGTTTAATAGGGTAAGGATCAGGAATGGTTCTAGACAGGCACGGTTCTGGGTACGCGTGGACTATCTAAGGCTGTGCCTGAGCTTGGTTCTGGCTAAAGCACGGCTGTAGATACAACAGACCGCTGCAGGTGTTCGGGTTGAGCGGTGTTTCCCTCCGCAGGCCGTTCCGGCCACTCCGCGCCGCCAGTCTGCGGCTGGACCGGCTTCTGTTCTCCTGCAGCCGGCAGAACTCTGCAAACAGCGCCGGCTTCCTGTCTGTACTCTACAGGGACGGTTCGGGATTTGTTTTAACGGAGTGACAGGGAAAGGGATGGACCGTTATATTGACAGATAGGAGATTGCAGGTCTTGCAGGTGTGTGGGTATATACGAAAGGCGTCTATGGTATAGACTATGTCATTTAATTCAACTGTACACAACTGTACTCTACAATACGACATGTGGGAAGATGTGGATATATGGAACGAGCCATTTTCTTCTAACATGTGTGTTTAGTGAAAACCAGAATAGAATCATGTTAGGCAGTCACTGCATAAAACACTTGGTTGTGTAAAGAGAGTGTCTTTCTTTAGTTTGAACCATATGTTAAATCACGTAATGATGAGAGATTGCCGTCTGCTGTTTTAGACTGTCTGTTTGTCAACACCCGGTCTTACATAATCTGACGGTCCCTTTCAGCGGCGCTGCTGTCTACCCTCCCCCGTCCCTGCCCGATCCTCAACCCAAACAAACGAACAGACTTCAGTACGTCTCTGTTGACCCTTGGGGACATCTCAGACTCTGTGATCCTGTCTTGTTTAGACATGGGGATCTCTTAAGATGTTCTTGTGACCTTGCCTGGGGGTTGAGGTTTATTTTCAGGATTACATAAACTCCGAACTCACGTCTCGCAGTCACCCAGCTGAAATAAGCTCTAGATCTCCAGCTTTCACACTGTTAACTACAAGACCAAATAAACACAGTGTTTAACAGTTAAAGGAAGTGCTAATGATGTACGTACACGCCCTGTATCCGTATCTGTTTTCATCAGCCATTATTGATAACAATTCTGTCCTCTACTACTAGTACTAGTAATATTACACCGGATCCATTGCTGATCTGTGCGCCCCTAGCGGCCACAGTTGGCACGACAACCTGTACCGGAACATATGATGTGACACTTGCCTAGCTGTACTGGAACTAAAATCACAGATATAATGATAAATCATCACTTGTCATATTTTTTCAGTGTTTTCTATTTGCGCGCCAAGTGTTTTCTGGTGTTTTCAAATTGCCACCAAACACTCTACTTCTTGATGGTCTCCGCCAAGTCTTTTTGTGGCAATTTTACGTCGTTATGGCTATTTTCTTGTCAAAAATCAGTGTGAATTATCACATATAGGAAGATACCTTAACCACACACCTTTCTCGTGTTTCTGCTGCAGAGCTCCCTAGTGCGCCCCTAGCGGTCATACGGTGCTTGACAACCCAGTTTTGATCTCGGAAAAATTGTAGAAGAGTAAAACGAGAAACAGTCACCATAAAAGTGAAACAGTAGCACTATCCAGCAAGACATTTTGATCAAACATTTTTCTCGTGTTTCTCCCGCAGAGTTCCCCGAGTGCGCCCCTAGCGGCCATGTGGTGCTTGACAACCCTTACCGGAGCGTGGCGGTGGCTGATGTACCCGCAGCGCGGAGGATCTGTGACCGGGACCTGCAGCCGGGCTGGTACAGGCTCCAGCTGCACGGCAAGGACGCACAGATTCCTACATCATGCGTGCAGGTCCGTATTGTTGCACCAATCTGGATCTAGGAAAGATTGTAGTGTATATAGAGGAGTAAAACGAGAAACAACTGCCATAAAACTAAAACTGCTGCCTTGGTTGCCATCCTCCGTGCGACATTAGGGAGCCGGCGGAAACTACGGAGGATGGCACCTAGGCTACAAAACAGCAGCAATCCTAGCAAACTTGTCTACATGAATGGTTGCTGGGAAACACATCAAAGTAGTCTTTTTCAACATTTTTACATGATACAAAAATAAATACATGTTATTTGGTAGATTGCAAACTTTAAGGTTTTTATACCTTTTATGCTGTTTTCTCCTTTTTTTAAATACTTTTTGGTATTTCTTTTATTAAAGGAGGGACTACGACGTTAGAATTTGCGCGGAAATACTAAGATAAATATTTATTGTTTTTGTTTCTGACAGTCTGAATCAGTGACCCTCTGTTCCCCCAGATGAACCACTGCGGGACCCAGGCGCCCATCTGGCTGTCCCTGGGGGACGGGAGCCTCCCCACCCCAGGGGAGACCGGGGCCTTTACCGGCTGCGTGGTGTGGGGCTTCCCGGGGCAGACCCCCGACTGCTGCCTGCTCCGCATGCCCGTCAAGGTTACAGATAGCAACGCTTAACATATATTGAAAGTCTATTGCAAATACATGCCCGAGGGCTAAGTGCAGTTACAAACAACATAGAAAGAAAATACACTGTGGCATGTGAGACTATATCTAACATTATACTATATTCTACAACGTTCATGGTACTAGATTTACTGGGTTTGACTTCTTTTTAGGCAATGGAAGACGAATTTACCCACTTCTTCTATAATATGTGGGTTCTTTGATTTTAGTAGTAAAACGTACTTAACGTACATCATGTCATGCGCCGTTTACGTTCATATTCCTGTATGTAGTAATACTATACAGAATAGACTTACTGTATTGATCACATTATCATTGTTGCCATACATTGCACCATGTACAATTGTCGATTAATAAAGTTCATTCATTCATCCATCCATCCAGGTCCGCAACTGCGGGGACTTCTTTGTGTACCATTTACAACCCGCGCAGGGATGTATGATGGCGTACTGCGCCGTGGGTATGTATCCATCCGCGATGTATTCAATGTGTTTCATACATGTAGGTTCAGATTCAGCCCTATCGATATTGATATGTTCATTGAAATTTAAACATGAATTGTGCCAACATTAACATCGACAGCAATACGTAAAATACACAGAGCAGATAAAACTACAAAATTTAAACGGCGATTTAGGTTAAAAAGCTTTGCACGGACGATAGATGTTATATTCTATGTGTTGATGTAAGTAAAATTATTAATACATAATGAAGGACGTTATATCACTCCTTGGTTTAATTCAGTACACTTTGATAATCAGAGTTAAAATAAACTGCACCAGAAACTAGACAGAACTTAGTTAGAGAGAGAAAGTCTCCCCCAAGGCAGAATCGTCCTCTATTGCACTGATGAGGACTCCGCACGCGAAAGGCCGATTTGAGGCGTCTCCAGGGAAAGCTATGATGTAGTTTAGTACCTACTGTGACGACCATTGACACTGTCTGACTCCATCCACGGTTTTCTTAACTCCGTGATTCTGTTTCAAAGAAAGCTGCTGGCACCACGCCACGTGTAGTGACACGTTCACTTACCTCACATGGATGACGATGATCTACCTAGTACTAAAGTACATGTGCTTTAAGATTTACGCATTATGTTTTTAGTTATTACGCCAGTTGCCTGAATCTACTTCCTTCAAGCTATTCATATCGTAATTCTTATTTGATATTCGTAACAGAATCATATTTAGTGGGAGGAGTAGGGTCAGCAGTGGTTCTGTACTTATTAGTGAACATCGCTTGTTTGCCAACTTTGTTCACCTTCAGTTTGTCTGTGGCTGCCGCGAATCTGCTGACAATTACGGTGTTGAATCTTCTGCCAACTTTACTTTTCCAAATTTGCTACAAAAGCGGCTCATGTTTAGAAGAGGTCGTACGCTTTAAACCAGAGGCCTCAAACAAATCCACAGTAGCTCAAAGGCTTGGCATATGATCAAGAAAGTAAAAAATTTTGGGTATAGGGTACAAGCAGGAAGAAAAGATTTTAAAAATAGCATTTTGTGAGTGCATAAGCTTTTCAGTTTGTCAAAAGTTCTTATCTTGAAAGTATTTTGTGTTGGAAATAACAGTTTAAACTTACGGCATAGCTCCAAAGTTCCAAATTAGTTTTGAACCAGTGTTACAACAGACAAAAGACGTACAGACAAAAGTAGAAGTTGACAAATGAGAAAGAAACGGAGTTTAACAGCTTCCAGCCGCTCCACTGCCCCACAACACGGACACGTGTGTACTTACTGGCTGCCACCCAAACTCCGGGTCCCAATGTTATCCAGCTATTGTTGGCAACCTTCCCTCTGCATTATGTTGAGTTGACACTATATGTATTATCTGGTTAAGTTGACACTAAAGGTCATGACCCTACTAGAGGTCACTTTGTGGGGCGTCGCCATGATAGTTCCTCCATTAGATGTCAATATAAAGGATTTGTCTCCGGATTGCGTCTTCCTGTAGTCTTGAGTGGTCGAGTACGCACCATATAAATGGCGCTGGTTCAATGGGTCGGGGGTTCAAAGCCCAGCCTACCACCGAGGTCCCGAACTCAGATCACTCAGAAGAGACGTTTTCAGTCGTCTGTTGTTTCTTGTTTCTATTATAATGAGGTTGTTGAAACTATGTGCTGTTCCCCACAGGTGAGCGAGCCAAGTGCCGGCCCGGGATGTACTCAGCAGACGGGTACGAGCCCTGTAGAAGTAAGTCGTGCAGGGGCGCCCTCTAACGGGTAGTCTATGCAGTGCACAAAGTCATACTCTATAGCTACCAATACCTGGTATAGTGTTTTACACCATGGATGCATGAGCAGAGATTTTACACAGAACTTCAACATTCATTCAAACAAAGGATGCTATTGCACTTTATGCTGCCATTTCAGTTTTCTAAAAACACCTGAAGCTCTATTTTTGTGCAAGTTTAACATTATTGCAGAATTTCAAGATTAGTAGTTACAGTGTAGTGTTTCAGCTAGCCTATAGTATACCACCCTCTCCTAGCTTCCTAACTCTTTGGCAGCGGGTATGGGAGCAAATATACAATGGCAAAATGGTATACAAATAGGATGACACACAGGCTAGTACAAAATGTATGCGTTTCATTTTCTGTAATATAATCCTGACCTGCATTTGATGTATTCTATATGACCAGTGTATTTTGTTGTTACCTTAGAACCACATCCCTCCATCACAACCACGCCCTTCATCCGGCCGGCCGTGATTGGTCGAACCGTGTACCTGAACTGCTCCCACCAATCAGAGGCCTCTGCTGAGTCAGGTGACGTGGAGTACGAGGTCACGTGGTTCCGAGCGAGGTATAACGGCGAGCGGGCGGAGATCACCATGGCGAAAACACGGCAGCCCTTCTCTCTGCTGCGGAGGGGGGCGCAGTGGAGGGTCGGGGAGACGGTAAGGAGGTTTTGTGCTGTTTTTTTCAAGAGTAACCAGAAATGACGAGCAAACTGTAGAACATTAGAGACATATCTACATTTAAGTGGCGATAGACTGTTAGAAATCTAATGAAAAGGGCTAAAAAGGGAGAAAAAATAACTTGGAGGTTTTGATTTCCTAAGGGTGTGTGGAAACCAGAGATGACGACGAGGGCAGAATGAAGGACAATAAAGACATACCCACAGCACAGCTGATGAGTATATTTTAGTTACAGGCCGCAGTTGATGAACAGAAACAAGACAGTTAGATATCTAATCAAGAAGTCTAAACAGGAATTCAAAACAACGTGGTAAGGAATGAGAAATAAACAAAAGATAAATAAAATATGGAAAGACTTATATGCTTGCTGAACTAATAACAGCCATGATAGAAAAATATACAGTTCAACATACAGGTGAGCATAATTCATATCCAAACATTGTAAGTACCTAAGGCTCTATATGATTAAGTCGGCAAGTTGTTGATGCGGACATATTTTTTTCCATTTCGTCACAGATTCTGTGTAAGGTGCAGGCATACTACATTGACACCCCAGAGCTCAGAGAGGCCGGAAAGGAGAGCAAGCCTTTCTTTGCTGGCATGAAGGTACCCAGAAAGTAGAGACTTCCTAGCCCCTTCATGCAGGTTTTTCGTATTTGGATTTGCATAACAAATTTTCTCACAGAGATGGTAAGTTTGTTTTCATACCTATTTTTAGTACAGACAGAAATTCTCACACTGACTGACCTGACAGACACTTGGCTACAGAAGGGGGTCGAATAGGCCTGGTAGTCTGTAAACCTGAAATCCAGCAGTTTTCTGTATTTGTACTGGTTCCTTTTATCCCACCAGATCTACCCACTGCAGTCAGTGATACAGGAAAATGGCAAAGTGCACGATCTAACCTTTGAACTCACGGTTCCCGTCGTGTGCCAGTCCGACATTTGCAGACTGAAGATTCCACTCAACGTCAGAGACAAGGGTAAGTTGACCTGGTCAGGCGTTCTGTTGGAAAACTCTCCTACAGCATTCCTTTACTCAGTTGTATACAGTATGCATGTTCCCTACGATCATATCTTAGTAAGACTGCCTTGTTTTTCAATTTCAGTACAGCAATCATCATTTAAGGATTTGAAAGCCATCTTCAACTTTCAATGGCACATTCTTGGTAGCCCTACATTTCATGATTTGTTGAATAGTGTATTCTGCTAAAAGCTTTAAAATTATTTCACTTTTGTAAAGAGAATGATTTTAAGGATATCTGAGTTAGGACCAGACCTGGACATTGGGATATTTGATGTTGTAATTGTCTGACAAATTTCCAATTTCCGATGCTTTCCCAACTCAAGTGATCTGATGTATCCCTTCCCCCCCCACACACACACGCACACACACATACACAGATGGAGCGTTACCACCCGACATCGCTCTATCGGAGTGTACAGTAGATATCCCGTCCCAGCCCTGCACTGCTGAACACTGTGGGAAGCAGGTCGTGCACATGTCCGCCGTCACAGACTTCGTGGCCAACGGGAAACGGAAGAGCGTCATCCTGACCCAGGAAGTGAAAAGTGAAGACCAGAACTGGCTCATGTATGACCCGGAAGATATTGAGGTATGGGGTTATGATAACGACAGATTTGATTTGATTTATTGAAATTGTAACAATACAATACACCTGGGACAAAGACACAGCTGTTGCTGGTGCTGTGTCTCCACATAGAAACAAATACTGGACAGACAACTCATTTTCACTTGAGTTAAGTGAGGAAAGCCATGTTAAGTGCCTTTCCCAAGGGCACAAGATCGGTGGCAATTGTCAGGACTCGAACCCGGGACCTCTTGGTCGAGCACTCTGCCATTACGCCACACGACCCCACCTCATCTCCATTATATAACCAAGGACTTTGATTCGATAATACCCAAAACTGTGATTGTTATTGAAAATGTTATCAAGTTGTACTTAGTCAACCTTAAGAAGACATCTTTGACCTTCCTGTGACCTTGTGTTCCTTAAGGTAGTTGTGGAAGACGTCCCCACGGCGCGCTGCTACTCCTTCACAGACCCACACGTCATCACCATGGACGGCACGTATGTCATCATCATGTGATTCTTTTCCCAACCACAAGTTTACAATTTACCCTTTTTACTTTTAGCCATGTATCTTTTATTAGAAACATTTCAGAATGTTTCAAAGACTTTATTCCTTACAGAATGTACGACTCCTACAAAGCTGGTACCTTCATCATGTACAAAAGTACTTCAAGAGACTTCGAGGTCAGTCTTCGTTTCTCAATTCTCTTCTTAATCTAAGATCTAACACGATTAAAATACAAATCGGCCTGGGCATGTAGTACAAACAATATGGGTGCGACTAAAGCAGTTCACCACTGGCGGACGCTTTACTCAACCTTATGTGGTATCAAGGTTTTAAGATGTGATGACAACTTGATATCCCTGTTGTTAGTTTGAATGTGCGTTCTGGTGACATGACAGGTGCACGGGCGTGCATGGAACTGCCACTGCGGCTTGGTGGAATTGAGATCACAATACAAAATCACTTTTGCCTACACTTTAAGGTGTAATTGCAAGCTTTACTTATAACGATAGCTGCTCTAATAATCTGAATCTGGGTGTTGCTGGCCACACAGGTGCACGGTCGAGCGTGGAACTGCGGCAGCCCGTTCCGCCCGGTCGCCTGCCACTGCGGCTTTGTGGCACGGGAGAACGCTGACGTCGTCTCCGTGGACATGTGTGATGGGAACCCCGGCGAGACCACCGCGCAGGTCAAGGTCAAGAGCGACCTCCCGCTTGCGCCTGGCGTGGAGATCACTGAGATGTATGATGGGAAGAGAGTCGTGGTAAGGATATTGTTTTCTAGAATTCTGTCAAGTATTTACAGACACAGTCCTATGACGTAAAAGACAGATTGTCATCAAAAATACCAATTGTAAGGCAACAACAGGCCTTGGTATCATAGAATATGCATGAAGCGTATTCAAAATGCTTCTTTTGTACAGACATTTTAACTTGAATATCTTTGTTACATGGCATCAATAATGCTGTCAACATTTCATGTACAATGTATTCATTGCCTTCTTCCTTAGATTCTAGCACCCAATTGACCTGTGTAGGTTCATCAACACAGCAAGTCTTAACATAGTAATATATAATTTTTTTTATTCTCTGTTATACTAGTACACTATGATCCTGGCACACTAAGATTCTGCACAATATCTCAGTAAGAGATATTAAAACGTGTGTTTCATTTTTGATATGTTCTCCCCAGGTATTCTTCCCATCTGGTGCGTTTGTGCGAGCGGACATCGCGGGGTGGGGCATGTCGCTCACTCTGCAGGCGCCCGGCCGGGACTACAACAGCACCCGCGGGCTTTGCGGAACATTCGACGGCAACGGCAGGAACGACTTCCACGACAGGCAGGGCCGGCTGATGGCCGTGTCGCAAAACTTTGGACAGGTCATCGAGTTTGTGGAGCAATGGAGGTACGTATACGTTTTGTTGATAAGAGTTGATAAAAGCAACAGAGTTCCTTCTGAAGTATTTAATGCACACTTCAACTTTGATTTGCCTTTTTGCTTGTAAAGTATTATATATAAGTTCCTGGACAAAATGGCACAAAATGGCACCAGTCTTTGACTTTGACCAGTCACTGAGGCTTTGGGAATTCTGACATTTCTTTTTAGTCAGATAATGTATAGAATTTAACAAATCTTTTTAATCATATAGAGGGAAATGCTTTTACTAAAAACCCTGTATAAATGTTTTGCTTATAACATGCAAAATGGCTCAAAGTAAAAGTAAATAGTATCCAATAGTGAAAGTTTGTTCCATTTCCTTTTCCGATTCCCCCTCAGAATCCCAGTAGGGATGAGTATGTTTGACAAGCTGCCTGAACCCCGTGACTACCCGCCTCCCCAGCCGTTCTGCGCCTGCGCGGCAACGACAGATGACACGTCCCAGCCAGACGGCTTCGGAGACATCCTCAGTCTCATCAACAGGCTAGTTTCAGCACCTAGTTTGTATGGTGTCTGGTGGATTTGCGTGATACAGATTTAAAATTCCAAAAATGCAGTTACGTATACTCAAGCAACTGGATATGATTTTCCAAAAGCATATCCAGTTGCTTGAGTAACTGCTTTTTTGGCGTATCGTATTACCTGGATGTCTAACCTTCATCGACAGATTTAAAACTGTTTAGCTGGTGTAATTTTGAATTTGTATTTGTATATTTATGTATTGTTATCTGATGTCCCGTATCATGTAGCTGTGTATATATGCAACATACTATGTAAACGTACTTGTTATCCTTTATGTTGACTTATGTTTATCAGCCTTTGTTGCCTTTAAGTCTGTGTAATGTGTTCTTTGCATTTTAAACAAATACATCAACAGGCTGCCTGATGCCGCGGGGTCAAAGTGCAACCCTGTCATCCAGACTTGCCCAGAGGAGAAATGCGACCGGCGTGACCACGTCCGTAAGGCCACCGTCATCAATTCTCCCAACCTCACAGCCAACTACAGCAACAAGATCTCACCTAGGAACCCCGCATCACCTAGGGAGAGAACAGATTTTGATCAGTATGCCCTCCTAGGAGGTGAACATACACTTAACGAGCGACCTCATTCTGGCCAAAGTGACGCGACAAAAAATCACACAGATGGACCACATAGACCTAAAAACCCTGACAGAGACTTTCTGTCTGTCTTAAAAGAGGAAGCCTTGCTTGTACCAGAGGAAGATGAGGAGAAAAATCCAGCTCTGAACGAACATGGCATCCCCATACCCAGCATTCTCCGTGACTTCAGAAGGCGGCATCGTCATAGCGGACATGCACGAGTGGGAAACACAAACCCACTTCAGTCCCAGTCAACAAGAAGACGTCAGAAACGCCAGGATATCGACGAGTTCTTTCCTTTTGAAGGAAACGAGATTGATTTCGAATCCGGGTCGTACTTCTTTCCCGGAGATTTCATCCTTACCGACCTTTCTCCTGTCATTCCAAGATGGCCGACGCAGAGCGGGAAAACCGATGGTGAAGTTCGAAATATTTGCACGTCGAACCTTCTCAATGCGACCTTGGGGGAGATTTGTGGAGACGTCCTTGGCAACAAGGTCGACAACATCGTGGACATCTGCATGAAGGACGTTCTGCTGACTGACGACCCTGCCTGGGCGCGTGATGTGCTCCCGCTGCTGGAGGTACAAACTGAACAATTTAAAAACAATGCGATACTGTATATTATAAGATTACTAGAGAATTCTTTCAGCAGTGACATTAGTTTTGAAGGGTAAGAGTACTAACCTCCAAATTTTCGATGTCTATCAGTCCAGCTTCTTCACGGAGTGGCCTAGTCTTGCGTGAGCAAGTCTCGGGCGTAGTCTTGTGCTCTCACTCTGTGAACAAGATGGACTGATAGTCATAGAAAATTTGGAGGTTAGTACCCTTCAAAACTGGTCACTACTGAAAGAATTCTCTAGTAACTGTAGCTATACATGACAAATGAATCTCTTCAACAATGCATATTGCAAGATTACTGAATGAGGACTGAGATTGCAGTGACTGTCATATCTTACTGTTCGAAGACTCTTTTATTCATTCTGTGGCTGTACCAAATGATGGAAATGATTTTAATGCTTGGTAACTTTATCTATCAATCAATTGTGTGAATGTCAGAGCAATTCAGGACCCAATTCCCAGGCACCTGCTATTCTGTACAACAAGTGACAAATAAACCATTGTTATTATAGAGAGTAAAGAGACTCTTTTTACACAACCAAGTCTTTTATTCAGCCGACGTTTCGGTGACCGTCTGTCACCTTCCTCAGGGCAGTTCTGACTGGTTCACATTGCAGCACAGGCGTCGCTGCTACATGTATTTGTAAATATTGTACATTTGGGAATGCATCTATAGCAGAGACACCTGTGCTGCAATGCAATGTGAACCAGTCAGAACTGCCCTGAGGAAGGTGACAGACTGTCACCGAAACGTCGGCTAACTAAAAGACTTGGTTGTGTAAAAAGAGTCTCTTTATTCAGTGTCTTTCCAACCTGATGAAACTATTCACGGGCATTATCGTTACAGGCCCAGTGCGAGGAGGCAGCATTACGTGACATGTCGCTCTGGGAGAAAGACGAGAAGGGCGTTCTGGTTCCCAACAGGAAAATCAGCAGGTTCCTGAACTGCCCGAACTCCTGCAGCGGCCACGGGGCCTGCACAGATGATGGCTGCGTGTGTGATGCAGGGTTCACGTCTTATGACTGCAGTGTTTCGCAAAGTAAGAACAGTTTTCTTTGTTTTAGACTTGTCCTTGGTGCTGAAAATCTGCTGATTTTGCACTCTGAACTTCCTTGCCAGTTTCAGACCCATTTGATTTTGATCACAATCATTGCTAAAGCAGTCTTTCTTGTCTATTGACCAGAGTTTGTCTTTCTTCTATTTACAATGGAAAAAGATGGTTGAAATTAAAATGCCCATCATATCATGAATACAAAATATGCTAATCTTATGATAATTAGGAAATACTACCAAACAGAACACATGAAGAACATAGAGAACACTATTACACTTACTTTCTTGCTTTGACATTTCATTTGTGCCTGGTCTGCAAAATTATACATTCACCACTGCTTTGTTGGAACTAGCAGCACTAGTATGTTAATGATAAGTGCATGCTGTTTCAGAAGTTTACCACCACCATGTTCAAACAAGCTGTAACAGTATTTTGTAAGTTCCATGTTATTGATTTTGTGTCTGCTGTTTCAGATGAGGCCCCCCAGGTGTTTGGTCTGGAGGATAACGGTCTGTGTGACATCCGCATGGACCTGTGTACGCGGGCCGGCGCGCTGGGGAGGGGCTTCCGCAACCAGCCGGGGATGGGCTGCCTCGTCACACCTGTAACGGTAGGGGGCGCTGTTTCACACAGAGTAGTTTGATCAGTACTGAGAACTACTGTGGCTGTGTTAAGATAAAAGTTGAGAGAGTTTTCATTCACAACTTTTCTGATATATTAAAATAAATTTGCTAGCCTGGGTGCTGGTAGAAACTACACAGGATGGCACATACCCAGGCTTGAAAAACATTTAGTACACTTTTTGCAGTTGCATTTGATAGATGGATTTCTTGTTTCATATCAGACTTATCATCGAAATTAACAATGTTCACTTGTAACATTGGTTGGGTTTCTTGATATGGGACCTGTCCCTGGTGCTGAAAGTTGTGCATTACAAACTACTCAGTCTCAGACCCACATGTCATTGATCATACATGTATTCAACTAAATCTGACTCTCTTGGCTGAACTGCCAAGTGTTGACTTTTTGCAAGTCAAAAGATGATGAATATATCTCCAAATATACTTGCACAAATCTACTGGGTAAATCCTTATAACAGCAACACATTGCCAGATGAATATATAAGTCTGTTTCCATCCTACAGTACTCTGAAGGCTCTTGGAGGTTGAGTGGAGCCGCCATCTTCACCACAGCAACCTACGTCAACTTCCGCTCCGTGTCCTGCGCTATCCCAGCATCCCCTGTCACCGTTTCCGGCGGACACAGTGAAACTTCAGGCTGGCAAATAAAGGTTTCAAACTGCTGTATATGTTTGGGATGTATTATTTGAACAGGTCTATCACTTCACTGTAGATAAAGCATCTACCAGGCTCAGAAGCATCTGGAAAGAAATTGAAATAGAGTAGAAATTGGCCAAGTGGACAGATAACATGCCAGGGGAGTCGGTATGCTAAAGGAGTACAGTTTGCCTTCTGTCTATTTGGCCAGTTTCTCTTTTCAGCCACTTCTAAAGCTAGCGTAGCTATGTGTTAGGTATGTAATGAAATATGATCATACTATTCTATGTGTGTTTGATTTATACAGGTATCCAATGATGGCACAACGTTCAGTGAGGCTGCCCTGTTTGTGACGTATGACTCTGTCTGCCAGGACTGTGACCAGTCTATTCCTGGGCTCTGTAGGATAAAGGTAAACTTTCAAGTTCAAGTTTTAGTCAGAAAAGGGGACTCTTACGGCATAAAACTGCACGGCATAAAACTGCATGTCCAAATAATCCTCATCAAAAAAGCCTTATCTGTATCTGTATATCTGGTATAGCCACTCTTTGGCATAACACACAGTCACAGAACAACTTGTGACACCTAAACTTTGAACATCTAACTCTAAACATTGCTTAAAGACATTTTTAGTGATGATGCCCCTACTAAACTGACAGCGAGTTCCACCCTGCCATAGTTCTAGGATAGAATGAGTTTTTGAAAGAGTTCACTATTGCACTTTCTTTTCCCCCTTTTCAGTTCACATCACTTTTGTTTGTATCAGAGTACTCACAAACTTACTCATTGTTTCAGAACAACACCTGTATCATCAACGGTCGTTGCTATGGCAGCAGGGAGCCCCGCCCCGGCAACAAGTGTGAGCAGTGCCTGCCACACAGGAGCACCGAGAACTGGTCTGTCAGGGAAGGTACCGACATCTTCTCAATTTACTATCATGAAGGTTCATCTGTGTTGGTAGTTACATGTTTAGAGTTAAAACTTTTGATCCAACACAAAACGTTCTCTCGCCTAGGTGTTGGATCTAAAGTTTTAGCTCTAAACATCTTCTCAATCTCTTCTCTTTGTTCCTTTATCCATCTTCCTTCTGCCTTACCCCATAACTAATGCTAAATAGAGAATTGTTAGTCAAACAGCTAATTCAGTGTGCTTAAGTTTAAGGCATTTGGCCAGTGAGAGAAAGTAGGGACATCCTGGTATGCATTTTTTCTCTATCTTGTTGTTTCTTCCTCTCCTAATTCAACCAAAGGGTTCAATATGATTACGATTACTAAAGGTATCTATTGCTCACCCACAAATTGCAGATTTCATATTTTGTGTCTTCCTCCTTTGCTGATCTCCTGTCTCTGTTGCTGTGCAATATTTCCCACAGGAAACCTGCCGCCAGTGTTACAGATCCCAGCAGAAGTTGCCTCTTTTGTTGGAGAAGACTTCGTGTACGAGCTAAAGGCCGTTGACCCCGAGGGTTCACAGATCCTGTTCTCACTTCTCACGAGAAATGAGGAGATCTCGCTCACCCCCGTCGGCCTGCTGATGCTGAAACCAGAGAGAGCGCTGAGACAACCGGTGGAGTTCACCATCACAGACGAGTGCAACTCTATCAGCAGATTTGAGATTACGGTGAGACACAGTAGGATACAGGAGATATCTTTACACAACCAAGATAGCTTTACCTTGCTGACATTTCGGTGTCTATCAGCTGCAGAAACTTTCCTCTGAGAACTTCTGAGGCGAGTTTTCGGGTGAGACAGTGTTCATTATGTTTTCCTTTGCAGTAGGAAGACGAAAACAGATTGTTTTTGCTCTGTTTCTTCAAATTCTTCTCCAAGCAAAGAAGATCAATGACCAGGGCCAGACGTCTGTCACCATGGTAACTGGTGCTGTAGCATATGCCCTGTGGTGTTGGATTATGTTATGTAGCAAGTCGCAGGTCAGAGTTGGAGTGGCTGGTCACCATATATATGAGTGTTTGAGGAAGAATAAACAGGACAGTAGTTTGTTGAAGTAGACCATCCCCATTTGAAGGTAAACATTATGCATTTAAATTTGCTTTGCAAATGTTACCTTTCTAGTTGAATTACTTTTTTGATGCATACATTTCAAACTTTCATTTAAAAAAATTCGAACAAATTCTGTTCTCTTGTAGGTAGACGTGAAGCCCTGTGAATGTGGAAACGGAGGAAGTTGCGTCACCGACATCAAGTACCCTGCGGGAAGTGGCATGTACATGTGCGTGTGTCCGCCCGGTTTCCAGGGAGACCGTTGCCAAGACAACGTGGACCACTGTAACCCAAACCCCTGTCTCCATGGCGACTGCACAAACACCAAGGGAGGTTTTGCTTGCGAATGTGAGAAAGGATACACAGGTAGGTAGTCGATCACAAGTGGACATGGCTGTTAGTTTCTAGCTAATGCAGTTCTAATAGTCCTGTAGTTTTAACTTTCATGGCCAGTACACGTTTTGCTACCACTACAGATTAGCAAATCACCCCTTTCTTCCTCCATACTCCATCTCTCAGGAGAAAGGTCCATCCTGAAAGTTTCTTTCCTAGAGCTACATCACTATAGATATATGGAGCAGGCTTCCTTGGGAATGCTTCCCGAATGGGTACAACCTAAAGCCCTTAGTCTAGGGTGAACAAACATCTGTCTCTACAGTCCTTCATGTAACCCACAACATGTACTAAGTGGTTTGTATGAGCCATGTTTTGAGGTGAAAATTGAAATTTAAAACAAAAAAATAAAATGTTGATGAGTTGTGATTAGTTGGTTGTTGTCAGGTGACTGTGCTGATGAGTTGTGATTGGTTGGTTGTTGTCAGGTGACTGTGCTAATGAGTTGTGATTGGTTGGTTGTTGTCAGGTGACTGTGTTGATGAGTTGTGATTGGTTGGTTGTTGTCAGGTGACTGTGCTGATGAGTTGTGATTGGTTGGTTGTTGTCAGGTGACTGTGCTGATGAGTTGTGATTGGTTGGTTGTTGTCAGGTGACTGTTTTGATGAGTTGTGATTGGTTGTTTGTTGTCAGGTGAGCGTTGTGATGAGGATATAGATGAGTGTGCTGCGGACCCCTGCTACCCTGGAGTGCGATGTGTGGACCTGGTCGGAACATTCTCCTGCGGGAAGTGTCCAAAAGGCATGATGGGAACTGGGATCCAGTGTACAGGTAACATTAGGCAGAACGGACTCCATTTTAAACTCTCTTAAGTTGCAACTAAGTTAATGAATTGTAATCATAGGAGTTGTGAAAGACAAAGAAAGTTAACACCGGTCAAATTCCGTTCCAGTGCTGTCATTTCCCCAAAGTTACGAATGATGTAATCGTAGATCAGGTTTTACTGGGAATTTTAATGAAAACCTTTTTTCAAGTGCCATTATGTTTAGAATTATTATGGAAAACTCAACTAGAGTTACTAATGCCATGTATTGGGAATGTTGTGATAAATGAAGGATTTTCATAGATTGTACATACCGGTAATATGCATAACATTGTATGGTTTTAGTGATCACTTTTTTGAGCACAAAATATTTGTGTTTTTCCACAGACATAAACAGCTGTGCCAGCGGTCCGTGCTTTGCAGGTGTGGCCTGCCACGACAAACGTGCACCTGAGACAGGCTACACCTGCGGCAGCTGCCCACCTGGTTTCCATGGCGATGGGGTCACCTGTGTCTACTCACCTGTGCAGGAACGCAGATTAGGTGTGTATCATCGTGTTAGAGACACGTCATTGTCCGTGGGATTTGTATTTCTGTCATATCTTAGTTACATGAACTAGTAGTGCGTAAGTATTGTGTTCAGTCTGTACATAACAACATTTCACTATTTTGGGCATCACAATTATTCTGCATTCTTCAATCAGCAGCCTTTGACTGTAAGAGTATAGCATAAAGTTCTTTCTGTCCAGAAGGATGGAGTTGGGATCAATTATCCTTTGAGTCATGCCAGAATGAGCAATGGGATCCAACATTGCCAAAAGTCAATACTAGTATTGACCATCATCATAGTAAAATCCAATGGGTTTGGAATGTGCAAATACTAAGTATTAAAAAGCCTTTTCTGTGAGTAATTTGTTTGTTTATTGTTTATTGTCCTTTCGCACATAAAAAAAGTAATGGTATAAAAAGAAATTATGTACAATCAAATACATGCAGGAGAGCCCAAGAAACCAGGAGGTTTATCTAGTGGGCTCTCCCAAATCCTGTTGATGATCTCATATTTACAACATTATTTACGTTAACAATTAACATGCATGTCTTAAGGGACAAACAAGAGAAAATTAACTCAAACAAGATAATATAAAGTTAACACGGCAAACTAAATATCTAAACAATAAAGTAAGACAATCAAAAACATATCGTATTCAACAAAAATACATTTCCATTAGTCAAATCATAAGTTAATATGGTAAGAACAACATAAGAAACCAATATTGGTCACAGTAATGGTCACTAATATGTTATATTCCCCCCAGGGCTGCCTATAGTCCTGAGCCCAGTTGTCCAGGCCGGAGCTTGTGTGTCTAACCCATGTTTCCCCGGCGCGCAGTGTGAGCCTCTGCCAGACGGGTTCATCTGCGGGCAGTGTCCCGAGGGATACTCCGGGAACGGGAAGGAGTGCTTTGGTAAGTCACTCTGGGAACGAGAGTGCTTTAGTTGGTTTATTATTACAGTGTAAATCGGAATTGTTTTGCAACATCTCAGCAGGAAGACATTGTGATACAGTGAATGTATAAAATCAGTAATTGCTAGACAAGTTGCAGCAAGCATTTTTTATGTTGCTTGTTTGGTACTCTCTTCTCTTATGTATTCCAAGTCTCGAAAAGTTTCAAGTCTCGAAATTTTCATTGCCATCAATGTCTCATCTATTACTTTGCATTAGTTAGCAACTAGGGAAACTGTCTTTAACTTTAAGCACCTTGTACTTGTATCATTTTGATCATTCACTGCATATATGTGTACAATGAGAATGTAGATCGTCATCTCTTGTACTTTTACAAGTTAGAGCAAAGTATCATGCCTGGTGCTCCACAGTGTATTGTGTTGTTGCAAGTCAAAAAAGTCCCCTCCTGTCCTTGCTGCAGCCATGTTTGACTGGCCGAATTCTCTCTACTTTTTAGTGCCATCTGAAGTGCTTGTCCCTATTTTCTAGAAACCAGGAAAGACAGTTTTAAGTTTAAGCGCATTAGTTGTATTGTTTTGATTTCTGCTTACAAATCATCCAGAATGTCAATTCTCATCTTCTGTCCTTGTATCAGCCATGTGTGACTGGCCGTGTATGCGGAACATGAAGTGTGTGGGGCTGAACACCTGCATCTGTCGGGAGGGCTACTCGGGTTACCAGTGTCGCCAGGCCGTCTGCAAACCTGACTGCAGAAACCGCGGCCGCTGCGTCAAACCCAACGTCTGCAGCTGCATGCCGGGATACCTGGGACCCACCTGTGAACAGGGTAAATATCTTATATCCATTTGTGAACAGGGTAAATATCTCCATCTTCATCATGTGCCAGGCTGAATAAAAGTTCTAAACAGGAACTATGCGGCTCCAGGTGTCTTACTGACTGCATGTGCGAGATGTCGGTTAGCTTGAGGAATGAATCCCCTCTACTATACATCTTCATCTTTATCTTTTACTTCCCTGGGGGTCAGGGCAAGTCCTTGCAGTTGCACCAATGAACTCTACATCTGTTTGTGAGCCATAGATACTCACATATCTTCAATGTCTACACCAGTATACTAGTATCTTTCTAGTTTTGTTCATTCTCTGATATCATGATAGGACTGGCTTTCTGACAATAATTGTCCATCAAACTAAGAGAAGGCAGTAGAGATTTATTTTCTGTTATCTTACAGACAATGCATACTTTCTTAAGAACATTTCATTATTGAATCCATCTGCCTGTTGCAGCTGAATGTGTGCCCCCTTGTGAGCACGGAGGGAAGTGCATCGCCCGAAACGTCTGCTCCTGTCCCTACGGTTACGTTGGCCCGCGATGCGAGACAAGTGAGTCCCTCATGCCATACAGGCTTCTCGTATGATGTCACTTACACCTATTATGTGGGATGACAGTATATGTCTGTGAAACGCAGCAACATGGCTACTGTATTCAAGGCATCAATGAAAAACCTAGCACGCTTATGTCGATGAAGGTTAGATATCCAGATAATAAGGTCACACGGAAACTGGTACTCAAGCAATTGGAGACTTTTCAAAATCTATCAAGTTGCTTGAGTAACAGTGACGGTTTTCTTGTGTTCTTATGTTTCTTAAAAAGGAATACTATATATTGTCCAGTATGGACCCGATGTCCTTCATTCCTCCCATTTAAAATACATTTGTACTTAGTAATTCAAGATTTGAGTTGTGAGAGTTGTGTTCTGATATATGTCTGCCTCTCCCCAGTGCTGTGCCGTCACAACTGTCAGAACGGAGGTGTGTGTGTCGCGCCTGACGTCTGCAAGTGTCCGGCTGGGTACGTCGGACTCACCTGTGAGACAGGTGAGAACGTGCCAAGGCCCATTGGGCTCCACAAACTTTACTTTATGATACTTTCAGAATCAACTAGAGACCAGTAAATCTGATGAATTGACTTACACTAGATAATAACATGTAGACTTTCATCCTCCCTTGCTTTGTGCCACACTGGACATCAGTCTTTTTTCTGACATGAAGGGAGCAATGTGGTATTTTGCTAGCTTTTTGACCGTACAATTGTACAACACATCTACACATTTTTGAACAATTTCTTGACAATCATAGTACAATGCTCTACTTTATTCCAACACACACTTAGGGTGCACGAGGATCAAAATTTCAACGACCACTGTCACCTTAATCAGTGACTACCAACACAGATAAACTGCAATGATAATTTCTTAACAAATTTGTGTAGTTGTTTCTGAACTGCTTACCAGGCTCGGCCTGATCACTGACAACAACCTGCAGTCATTTAAAACAACACCAGCATCTTTCCACCATCAGGACTTCTACATGTAGCTAGAACATTGCATTAAATGCTGTAAACCAATGATTAGCCAGGAGTGTTATAATGTAATGTTACAACCCAAGCTATTGTTTATGTTAGTACATTATAGAAAAAACAGCACCCATGTTTCAGCACCAGGGACAGCACCAAGCAACACTTCAGCTACCGTAACCTCAACCCAGATAAAACAATTGTCACACAAGCGGGTTTGGGTGCCCAATGGCAGCATTCTCAACTCGGAACCAAGAGGTCCCTGGTTTGAGTCCTGACATGCCACCGATCTTGTGCCCTTGGGAAAGGCCCTTTACACGACTTTCCCCACTAGACTCAAGTGAAAATGAGTATTGTCTGTCCTGTATTTGCAACAGCTGCCTGTGTCCCACGTGTATTGCACTGTTGCAATTTCAATAAATCAAATAAAAATTACATCCTCTCTCCCCCCCCAGCTGACTGCAGCCCAGCATGTAAGAACGGTGGAGTGTGCTCCAGACCTGGACTCTGTGCCTGTCCTCCGGGGTTCTTTGGCAGGAGGTGTGAGAGAGGTGAGCTTCTGCCCTAATGGCCTTTTCTAAGGGACTTTGCTGTTCTGGACCCATTTAACACATAACTTTGAAAGAGTTGTGTTGCTTTTCTCTGATATAAAGAGTCAATTTTCGGACACAATGTTTTCCACAATTTGTCCCCACCCACATCACAAGGTTATTGTCTTCTTAGAACCCCCCCCCACACACACACACACACACATACACCTGATAAAGTTTCTCTTCTCTTCATGTTAGTCACTCTGGTACTTTTTTTATACCATAGATAACTTAGGTGTGGAAAGCATAAACATTGGATGTAAATCACTAAATGCTGTTATATTACAGGAGTATGCAGACCAAACTGCCAGAACGGAGGAGAGTGCATGCGCAGGAACATGTGTCACTGTAAACCTGGGTACAGGGGGAGCCGCTGTCAGTTCAGTAGGTGTTGTTTATATTTCTAACAACATCTTGTTGATATATATTATGAGAGTCTCAAAAAGTGATTGTTAATTGTAAACTGAGCAAAAATCGTTATTCCTGCTTTCACATTTGCTATGATGACAACACAAGTCACGGATGATTTTCTACTAAAATCTATGTTACTATATTCTTAGTACAATCTTACTTATTGAGCTCAATAATAGTGCTGTGGAGAAAATTGTCCTTTTGTTATCCTTTATGCCTTTCCCTGCACTGATCATGAGGAGTTTTGTATTGAAACTATTTGTTGGTTCTCTTACTTCCTTATACTATGTGTCCTGTAGTTGCTTTTTTATATACTATAGACAGTATATTACATACCATGTATTCAGGCCTATATGGAGACAATTAGTCCTGTCTGTATTAACTTTCCTTCTTGTTGTTCCCCACAGGTATCTGTGAGCCTCGGTGTCAGAACGGAGGGAAGTGTGTGAAGGCCAACAGGTGCTCCTGTAAGTCTGGATTCACGGGGAGGAGGTGTGAGAAAGGTCAGGAAACCTTTTAGCAGTTCTGATGTAAGCAGATAAACATACCAAGTGTTTGACTGGACTTACAGTAAACATGTAAGACAATACAGAATAGAAGAATGCATAACTAACTAGCAAGGTAACATTTGCAAAGCCAATGCACAATGTTTACCTTCACATGGTCAGCCTAACAAACTACTGCTCTGTTTATTCTTACTGAAACAAATTCATAAATGCTCCTTGGACTTTTTTCGTCTATTAGTAAGATTCATATACTAGTACATGTAGTTACATCGCAACAAACACCAGCTCTGTCCTGCCACAAAATGTAACCCAACACCACAGGGTGTCTGCTACAGCACCAGTTACCATGGTGACAGATGTCTGGTCTAGGTCATTGACCTTATGTGTTTGTAGAAGTAGAAGGAGAAACTGAACAAAAACTACATGTTTTCCTTCTGCCCTCCCCTCCCAGCTATCTGTGTGAACAGATGTCGTAACGGCGGCTCCTGTGTGAAGCCTAACGCCTGCGCCTGTCTGCCTGGCTTCAAGGGAGCTGTGTGTCAGACAGGTGAGTGGGTCCTCCAGTCAGCTTTTCATCCCTGGCATGAATACATCATGCTTCCCTTCTAGAATTTAGTCATGCCTTCAAGTACCAGAGTACCAACTAAACAAGGATTCTGTATCTGTATAGCCGGTATAACCGCCTTTCGGCGTAACACACCAGCTTCACAGGCACGCGGCACGGCAGCAGCTGGCTATACTACACCGATTGACTTGTTACACCTAGGTGTTCTAAAACTCAATCTTCCTTAGAACTATCGCAGAGTGGAACTCGCTGTCACCAAGTACAGTAGGGGCATTGTCAATAGATAGCTTAGATGTTAGAGTTGGATGTTCAAAGGTTAGATGTAATAAGGTGTAATATTGCTAGTTGCCGCATGCCAGCTGCAAAGCTGGTGTGTTACGCCGAAGGGCGGTTTTACCGGCTATACAGTCAGATATAGATACAGACAGCAAAAAACTGCCACCATGGCCAGGTAGTCCTTATGTGTATAGGCTATCACTTGTGTGGGCTGACCGTGCATGTTTTTACCTTCTTTCCCCCAGCTGTATGTAAGCGGAGGTGTCTGTACGGCGGCCGGTGTGTGGGACCTGACAAGTGCTACTGCAGGCCTGGCAGGGGAGGGCAGTACTGCAACAAAAGGGTAGGGGGCGCTGATAACTACTCTTCTACATTGTAGCCTGGTGTTATCCAAAACCATGCTTTGTCCCAAAGGATGATTGGGTGCTGTTTAGGATAATTCATGGATATTGCTTGGGACAAATCTACATTTTTGGACACGCAAAGGCTATCCAGAACCGTGCCTGATCCAAACCTCGGATATGGAACTAGATAGATGCAGGTTTGGGTACAACACTGGCATGCAAACTACATTATTATGGCTGCAAAGTCTTTTTAGAATCTCTCAGCATTTTGCTATTTATCAAAGACGAGAGGACAAAAGAGACTCTGTAACTTTAATAGGTTTGGCTGCTGGGCTACTTTCATTGAGTAATGAACTTGTGCATGTCATAACATTGCCTACTACATGTATGTAACGTTATATTTAATGTTAGCCCAAAATAGGTCAAATAGTGTTGTATACATGTATGTTGTTGGATTTTAACAATCAAAACTGCAAAAGTTTAGCAACATCTTGTCTAGGTATATTGTGCAGTATTTTATCTGATGGGTTTTTCAAACTGACAGATGTCCTTGGTGACCTTGACAATGGTTGTGACCTTTTGTCCTTCACAGATACCCAGATAACGGAATCATCATCAGGTGGTGACATCATCATTTTGTACATAGAACATCAGCGGGAGTGGGACATTTTAAATCGCCATGGAAACACCATGGAAACGCCTTGAGAAGTGACATGAAACACACCAAGATTTTACCTCGAAATATGTCCACTTGTGGCTTTGGAATAAGTAGCCACATTTTATTGTATTTAGTGTCAACAAATAGTTTACCATTTTGTTTCTTTTATCAGTTTTCCTGTTTTGTTCTTGTTCTTGTTGTAATATCAGATGTAAACTTCAATGTTTTGGGCAACAATACGTACTATTTAATGGTATACTTTTAAAAATATAACTGTTAGGTTTGAACATTCCTTAGATGAAGGTCAACTTAAAATGACCTTGAACGAATTGCCTGTTCTTGTCTAAGACACTTTAATCGTTGATTATGTTTTATTATGTTTGTTACTGTTTTTGTATTTTTGATGTCCATGTATGTAAAGGTTTCAAAAACTTTTTTTGCCCTCTTTTAAGTAATTTTTGTGACATTTAGTGTGCTCCACTCTCCAGGAGAGAGGCAGCTGTGGTGCTCTGGGAACGAGAACATCTCGTGGTGCTCTGGGAACGAGAACCTCTCGTACCCACATACTAATTTAGTAGGCCACCATGTTAGTTATTGTTTTAATTGTTTTAATGTGTTAAATCACGATTTTTAAGGAAAAGACGCCACAACAAACCAGTTTGGTTTTGTTTATTACTATTACGTTGAACTTCATAATGTAGAAAGGAACTTGAAGGTTTACTCTTCTTGAATATCGTCTCAAATCGACTGACAAACAACAAAAGATACATACAGGACTTTTCAAAACTTGAACACAAAGCGGTAAATGGCTTTTATCTAGTAATTTCAGGGCGAATCACTCTGTATGGTAACTTTTGCCCCTTATGGTTGAGTGCGTACGCGCGCGTCCACCCACATACACTTACCGTACGATTCATGCGCGCACATACTCAAACACACAAACGTACACAGTGTAACTGACATTATTACAATTTCTGTATGTATGTTGCGGTAACTAACAACACTACAAACATTGCTTCTACTTCTCTTCATGATAATTTCAATGCAATTTACGGTAAGACTATTAGCGGCAGGTGCTTTTGTGTATGTAACAATAGCATCAAAGCTGAGGGTATCAACACTTCATCCGCCAAAATTACTTTCTGTAAGGCATCTTTACAAATGCCACTTTCTCCTAATCCTGTCTTTTGTCGGTCGTACCGAAAGATTTGCCTGTGGATGTCGGTTTTGCTTTCGCAGTAACGCCAGGACTAAGACGCAATATATAAAGAACCGGTTTGATCCTCCAGGATTACTTTTAAAGTGGCCCAGAACGAGCCTTGGAGGCACACAGGGCTCTACCGGTGTCTGAAAAGAATGTCTGACTTACAGAACTGATAAGATCTCTGATTGCAGTACGCGTAGGTAGCGCCCGTCGCGGGTTAGTTGTACCGTATCGGTGTTTAGGACCAAGGCTGAACCCTACATCTTTTTACTCTCATCGTGCTCATTCTGTGTAGAGCATAGGCGCGTCCTTTCATTTTATGATACTGCTACGATGCTGCCCCAGTTGGTTTTTGTCTCGTGTTTGTTACTGTATGAAAGGTAGGAGCGGATTTTTGAGATATTCTTGACATCATCTGAACTAGTAATTTGTAGTGGGAATGTTGCTAGTACGGAAGACGTCACGAAGTGAGCATAAAGAAGTGTCGCCAGAGATCATAGACATGTGTTCTCGATGACAGCTAAGGCTATTCGCCAAATCCGACTTCAAACCTTCGCGAATGGACAAAACAATGTATTTACAATACATGTAAATGTCCCCATTTTAATTGTGCGTAAAAACGTGGCACGACAAAAATGCACGTAAACATCGCCTCAACCTTAACGCTACAACAAACTAAACCGCGCCCACAAAACTTACTAGCTTGTTGCGTGCGGACCGGTTCAGCGTCAGTGCGCTTGGAGCCAGTCTCCCCAGCCCTGGTACTGACCCACAGGTGCGCCGCTTCGGTAAAAGTGAAAGCACTTTCTCTCCAACCTTTCACTCAGCCAGCCACTTAAAAACTTAAGACGCTGGTGATCAAAGCCACTCGAAGGAGGAATGCGAATGATTTTTGGTGCGCATTCTTCAGGGCCCATTGTGTAGCGGGTCGGTAGTGATGGCTTCATGATCACCTGTGTGAGCGAAACTCGCGTGCCAGGGCTGCATAGGCACGCGTGGAAACCAGTAGAAAATTTGGGCTTTATTTACATCAACGAAAACACTGACAATTCTACACACAAGTCAACTTTAGATGTCTTACTTCGCGTACTAAGTTGGCAAGGGGTATTTTCAAAAGTTCGGCGTCTGAAGCTTAAAGTTACCCACTTTCTATAGACGCAATACCTCTTAACTCTGAACGCGCTTTATTTACGTCAACAAAAACACTGAAAATACCACACACAAGCCAACTATAGATGTCTTTTATTTGCGTACTTTAAGTTCGCAAGGGGTATTTTCAAAAGCTCGGCGTCTGAAGCTTAAAGCTACCCACTTTCTATAGACGCAATACCTCTTAACCCAGATTTCAATGCTTAAGACTTGTAGATTCAAGGACAGGTATGTTAAAGAGAAAAGAACAGCGCGCCGCCCTTAACTATTTTTGTTACCCCTTTGTTACGGCTAATCACTAAACTGACAGTTATCCTATCAACTGATGCAGGTAATCTGCACGGCAAGTGGCTGTATTGTCCTGTAAACTGGGATACAGTTTATTCTTCTGTTGTTCGGGTGGGAAAGTCATCATAAGGCCATGTTGATTTGATTATATGGATGACATCCTCTGGGAACCCCAAAACTGATGCGCGCGTGCGAATAAAAAAAAAGTTTTGCAAAAAACAAAAGTTGCTTTCACTATGAAATCTACGTGGTCATGAAGGTTGAACAAATGGCACAGAATATGTTATGACGAATAATCTACTCTTCGAATTCATTTCTTTACATTTTTGTCTTTTTTCCTTTGATTTTGGCATTCTACGACATTGGTATCGTTTCTAAATGTTTTCCTTGCAACTTATGGTATATTTTTGCTCATTTAGCAAATGTTTTGCACGATTTACAGTATGGTTGAAAACTTTTTTTTTGGAAACGGCCGAAAATTCATGCGCGCGCGGATGTCATCCATATAATCAAATCAACATGGCCTAATTAAGTGCAGATTTCTTCTAAAGACGTGTCAACTGATCCCAAGGGGAGGATCAAATTCTATTCAGAGTTATTTGAGATATTAAAAAATGCTCGCATACATTTGTTCCTATTACTAGTGTGTGCCTTTCAACAAAATATGGTGAATAAAAACCAAAGCGCTGGCCAGAAAAATTGATTTTTCTAAAAAGGGGGCGTGGCTCATAACTCGAGATGACGTCATGATTACGTCATCAAAATTTGCATAAATTGTCATCTTGCACTAAGGTACTCACACAAAAAAAATCAATGACCATAGGTAATCCTAAGTAGTATTTTTAGGACGTCCCCAAAGTCCTCAGCCACCCTTCCATACCACCTTAAGAGCGAAGATTGCAGAGTAAATGTGTTATCATAAAAGTTCATCTGTGTTGGTAATTACATGTTTAGATTTAAAACTTTCAATCCAACACAAAAAGTTCTCTCACCTAGAGCTTTCGACCAGTCTACTGTGTCAGTCTACTGAGGAAGATCAGAGTAACTGGTCGAAGGCTCTAGGTGAGAGAAGTTTTTTTTGTTGGATCGAAGGTTTTAACTCTAAACAGAGTAAATTTGCCGACCTGGCTTTTCCGTCTATCTACCTGTCGCTCTATCCGTGTTTTTCTAGCGGAAACAATGGGAACTTTTATTGAGGCTTGCTCGGCACTAATAGTGCGATTGTGTCTTACACAGGTGTGTTTTACCTGTGCTTTGTTCTGTTGTTTGTCGGCGGTCAACAGCCGTAAACACTGTCTGAGTGTTGGCGCTAAATACGGACCCGCTCTTCCAACTTGTGTCATCCCTCCCCTTGCTGACTTTACCGCTAACCAATCAGAATACTGCTGTTATTTTGTTGCGACCTTAACTCACTCTAACAACGCTTTATCTGAGTTGTTTAGAAGAAAAATGTACCCTTTTGTGTGAGTTACTATTTCAAACTCGGCTCTACACGTTATTTTGACATTAATCATCATCAGCGCACAACGGGAGGGCGCGCGCCTGACGTCACGGCTGATCTCTGCTCTCATTGGTTTACTATCGCACAGGTGACCCCTGACCCCGTCGCTACGCACGCAAGGAGACCGTGTAAGGGTACATAAGGGGTTTATAAAACAATTATATCATTGACTACCCCCAGAGATATTTATATACATCTTTTGATTCAACCTCTCGTCAAAGCTACGGACAGAGAAAGAACATATATACGCCATAGTAGGACAGAAATTGTGTATTTTAAATGTTTTTGGTGTATGTTGTTGTACTCTGGATGCCACAAACCCCTTAAGGGCCCCTACCAGGCCACCCGTCCCCACTTTCTCCCGATCAGCACGTTTTATTGACAACTATTAAGGACTAGTACAGAGCGGTGAACAGTGGCCGGCTTAAGACACGTTCAGCCCGACAAAGATGCTCACCTGAGGACACCTGGGAGCACCTGAGAGACACCTGTTACACCTGGTCATCTCATACATGTGGCAGGTGGAGCATACAGGTAAGCTTGTACCGTGTAGTTTGTAGGTATGCTGTCGTGCAGGTATGTAGTGTCTTTATATGACATGAGTGAAGCTATGCAGGTTTACCAGTAGTACTGTTACAGGTTTTACACTTGCTATGCCTTCATAGGGACAAATTTGACCCGAATCTATTTTAGGTAAATGCACGATTGTGGAGACTTGTTTTAAGACTTCTTTAACGTTTATTTCCTTAAAATTTGAAGATGTCTTTAGTTGACAGGGATAGCTGTCGGATACGTGTTTAAATCGGAGACTACAGTGCAGGAAAACTTACAGTGTTAACACTTGTTGTTTCTTCAGTATAATTTCACATAGGGACAAATTGAAAACGATCAACTTTAACCTGGTTAGGAAAATGTCAGGATCACTGTGGCTTCTTTTAGGTTTCGTTGGCTTTCAAGCTTGAATATGTCTAATGTTGATTGGGACAGTTGTCGAGTAGGTGTTTAGAACATAGAGACGTACAGTTCACTACAAATTACACCTTCACTACGCTTCATGGCAGCAAAAATATAAATATTTGCTCGTTCTTTCTGAACGTCCTGACAGACTAAATGACACGTATCTAATGACTTGGTTAGAAGACGCCTCCGTTGTTTGAGTCTGGCCGATGTTGTGAC